GGTTGTAAATGTATATTTAAGATTTATTATCTCTAATAATATGGTGAAAACATGCTTTATGTGTAAAAGGCCTGTTGAAAATGCTTCTTCAAGATATCATAAGTAAGTACAGACACAACCTAATTATCAGAGGCGGTGCATTAGGCAATCACCTTTAATTATTTGCAAATAAACTTTCTTATCTTCTTATCGAAAAGAAGTAAACTTCAGCTGAGTTCGTCTTTATCCGTCTCATAATGATAATAGTAAAGGTTAATTACTTATTATTACTTTAATATCACATTTTTGTAAAGTTTATTGTTATTTTTTTTTAGGTTTCCTTTTCTTGATATGAGAAAGAAATACATGGTTCCAAAATATAGGAATTCAACTAGTGACCAACTGAATAACTTTTTATGCTAATCAACATTTTTATTATAGACCTCTGGGGAAGAAAATATTAAAGAAAATGCAATTTCGACGAAAGAAGTATAATAATCAATCCTGTCACTACTTCTACACTATATTCATCTGCTACTAAAATACTAAAACAGCAAGTAAGTAGAGAAACTTAAGTTTATTTTAAAAAGAATGTTTAAGGAAAACGGCATAGCCATTTTTTTGTTGACGCTTTTTTTTAACTAATCTAAAAGATTAATTTTGTGTATTGTTTAAATTTTCATTTTTTGTACTTAATTTGTTTTAGGTTTAAACAAAATGAACTTCTAAGATATGCATGGAATATCCCAAATGAGCTAAGGAAGGTTTTAAAATTCTTAAGAAAACTATTCAGAGCCAAAAAACATAAAATAGTCTTCCTGTCCAAAATATAAATAGGTATAAATATTTAGATAAGTATTATGAGTGATTCTTTATTCTATAAATAGAACATAATTTGCATCTAAATCACTACCTAATAAACTATATTATATAGTACAAAACTAAACAAGAATATCACATTATTCATATTTTTTTTAATTTCCTTCAAAAACGTCCCAAAAAAATGTGAATATTTATTATTGGAGTTTACATCGTTATGCTAAAACAATACTAGAACAACTTAAATATTGTGGATTTTGACTATTTTGAGTTATGCAGATCATTATGATCTAAAAAAATGTTTGTCTGGTGCTATAGTTAGGTATAAAAACATTCATTTATTTAAACACAGTTGCAATATACATTTTATTTCGTTTTTAAGTTAAAACCTATTAGGACATCCTAAAATGACTTTTCGTTTGATGTGAGATTAATTATTCTACATTTTTGTTGGTGAAATAGAATATATTAAGATGTCTTACTGTTTTCTCTGATTATATAAAAAGTTAGAACAATATACAAAGACTGTTATAACAAAAAAGAAATATACCTTTACTTAAACACACAATTAGTCAGTTTAATTGTACGATAATTTAAAGCAGAAATCCAGAAAACTTTTAAAATCTGTTTAAATGTGTTTTTACTATAACAAGAACATAATTATTAAAAAAACTTGGCACATTAACATTGACGAAAGGTTTTTATAATATATATTATACAAATCACAACGAACTACACAAAATGACATTATTGATAATTTAGCAATAAAAAAGTTAAGTACATTAAAAGTTGAGTTTCTCGAAATACTTTTTTTAAATTGTCTCAGTACCTACCTAGTATTTTTCTAGCACAATGATATTATATGAATGTGCATTGTGTGATATCTTATATTTTAGGAATAAAATTATATATTTTTTTGCAGGTTTCTGTTAACAACGATTCCAAGAACTTTTGAAAATATTATTAAAACGGCCTTTGCAAATATAATTCTCAATTAAGAGCTTTTGATCTAACATTAAATTTTAATTCTCCATAATGTTATAGCTTCCTAAGAAGAAAGTTTAACAAGACTTACCAGACTCAAAATATCAAAATTTTACCAATCAGTTGATGGTTCTACTGGTTTCCATAGGAAAATTATCCTCGAAACTACTAAAAGAAAAGTGGCAGAGGCAACCGATGAAGGCAAAAAAGTCTTTGCAAAACAAAAACTAGAAATTTGTTTAAGAATCTAATTATTGTTTGAAGCTTTACCATTAATAATTTTTGATAACGATTTAAGATTATGAAGTTCTATTATGTATCTTACTCTTTGATAACCTATGTTTAAATTTTTATTAGGACCAAAATAAATTATAATTTTCATTTCAACTACAAAAACCCTCATAATATTAAAAAGGGGAAAAAATGTTAGATTAGTTATGTTCAGGAATAAACTCTTTAAACATTTATCTACTTAAAATGTGTTACTTTTAGAAGGTATGTTATTAACTTTCTATTTGTACTTGTGTAAATTTATTTAATTTTATTATCTGTTGTATTTTCAAATTGATTTTATTTCCTTTTAAAAAGAATTTCGAAGATAAAGCCGAAACGGTGAGAGAGAATAAAAAATTAGACGAAAGTGACGATATTTACTGGAGCTTTCATCTACACGCTCCTTTTTCTAGCCATCTACACCTGAGCCAGCAAGATTTATCCATCCTTACATTCTCCAGATTTACAGAGAAAACGCCGTCCTCTTTAACATATCCAGACCTTCTTTGACGGGAACTATACCACTACATTATTAGCTTTATTTGTTATTCCGAGCAATTTAAATGCATTCAAAATTGCTCATTATCACCTCTTCTCTTGTAGATTTCGTACTCAGTTTTCTTATTTTTAGTTACGTTTGCACTGCTCTTTTATTTTCACAGCTTTAATTCTATAATGCTCTAACGCTACAATATGGATCCATTGTTGTGGTTTATACTATTTAATGTTATTCGTAAGTGACCAACCTATTATAATAATTAAAGATTAGTGTATACAGGCCTGAAGATATTTCTGTATGGCCGAAACTAGTCGCTACTGTATTTATTTATAATAAAATTGACTTTAAGGTTTTATTCTTTAATTGAAAAAATTAGACCTTTACAGTGATTTTGTTTCATTTCCTGCATTAGAGACATATAAGACGGTATTCTTTTTAAAAATAGTAAAATTAGCAAATTATTTAGTTTTTTTTTTACAATTAAAACGTTTGGACAATGTGTGTTTTTATGGATAAATTATACGCCACTGAACAAGAAGGATGTTTACCTTCCCCCTTGTGCCCGCTTCCTCACTTCCTCTACAGATGTTGCTAACACAACAATCGCCTACAAACTCGTTTTCACGCTCCCTCTATTAGTAATTGCTCGGAGGATTGGACAAATTGACCGTTGACAGCTGTCAATTCACTGTCAACGAGGAATATAAAAGTAAATATCCTCTTTTCACATTGAGAGTTTGGGTTTTTGAGGTCGCTGAATTTAATTCTCATGTCAGATTGGACAAATTGACAGTTGACAGCTGTCAATTGACTGTCAACGAGGAATATAAAAGTAAATATCCTCTTTTCACATTGAGAGTTTGAGTTTTTGAAGTCGCTGAATTCAATTCTCATGTCAGATTGGACAAATTGACAGTTGACAGCTGTCAACTGTCAACGACCTCAAAAACCCAAACTCTCAATGTGAAAAGAGGATATTTACTTTTATATTCCTCGTTGACCGCGAATTGACAGCTGTCAACGGTCAATTTGTCCAATCTAACATGAGGGTTGAATCCAGTGACCTCAAAAACATTACCCTATATAATAGAATAATCAAAATATGCTTTTGACATATGTAAATAGCATTGAAAATGAATAGTTTTGCAACGGGTCAGGGGAGCTTTGGCAGCTCCGTAGCTGCCAAAATATTCATTTTAGCACTTTGTGCCCATGGAGACTTTTATTCAGGATGACAAAATCTACAACATATCAAAAATTCAGACAATTTGACAGAAACCCAATTTCCATAAGATTATTGCGGGGTCCTTTACTGTACATATTTTGTATAGGTAATACGTTAGTGATTTTTTCAAAAATAGTAAGAAGTCTTTTCACCCCTCATTTAATATAAATTTATTAAAACAAACTGCTGATTATAAAACACTATTAAAAATATATTTATTACTATTAAAAAGACTAGTGAAAAATCAGATCAAAAGATGGATAATTGATTCTAGTGACTACAAAGGGTTCCGTGCTATAATGAAACAGCGTAACCCGATATATTTTTCCTTTTTTTTTTCAATCAATATATCTTTTAAACTAGTTAAACTGTGTTCTTTAAATTTTTATAAGATTTTTCTGATTATATGTTTATGTTCTTTTCCGGTTTAATCAAAAATTAAGTACATATATTGAACTATGTAATTTCAAATGGAAGATTCTGTCACAGCTGTATATTTTTTTTTTAGATATATTGTGAATGTCCTTTTTTCCCTTTGTAAAAATGTAGTATATGTCACAGTTTAAAAAAAAAATTGAAATTAAAAATTTTCGGCACTTTGAGCAGATATTCAAGTTAAATTATTTAAAAAAAAATTAGCAAAGAAATCTAGCAATTACTTTAAATCGCTCCAATTTGAGACATTCTAAATATCCAAAAATATCATTTTAAAATTACATAGTTGCCCTATAGCCGTGTATAGGTATGCTATAAGTGGCCCAAAAAAAGACCGACACTAAGAAAAAACTTATAAAAATTAAAAGAAGACTGATGAAAACGGCTTTTTATTATCTAAACGTTTGAAAAGTGCTAAAATATAAAACATATTTTTTACATATTTTTTGTTTTTCGTTTATATTTTAAAGGCTATGTGAACGATTAAAATTATTAGCATTAATGTTGTTTAAAACCAGCCAATTGCAAGGACATTAAATAACATTTATGACAGTTGTTAGAGTTTGTCAGTTTTATTGAACGTTCTTGCAACCGGCTGTATTATTATTTGTTACTGTTATGGAATATTCAAATAGTGACCCATCAGTCTTAGTAATTTCATATTAAAATTATAAAATATCAGGCTAAATAGAAGCACAGCAATTAAAAATACGTTAAAGTTACTTAAAGATGGCTGCTTCACCAAAAATGTGTGAAAAATCTCTTAAAATACAATTGAGTACTTACCTGATGATTCTGAATTTGATTTTAAGCTCTCGTCCTGCGACATGTCCCTTTTTATATCAATTTTTTTCGTTTATGACGTATGTGACTGTTTTCGAGATTCAACTTTTTGGGAAGTGTGCACCTAAAGGGTCTATTTATATTTGAAATTACTAAATGGAGGAGGATAGCCCTTGTGAAGCGTCACGGTTGAAAGGATTGTAGCCATGCCAACGATTACCTATCTAATGAATCTTCACAAATCGTTGGCCATACACTAAGTATGTTGAATGAATCAATAAACTTATCTGCGACGATTTTCTTTTTTTTTTTGTGTTAATAAACATTGTGTGCGACATAATCGTTCACATATTATAATGTCGTTAGTTTAAAAATAGTAAATCGGGTTAAGGGTGCTCTTTCGGATTTTCATTGACATAAACTTTGGAAACAAAGTTGAGAAAAGGGACCACTGCAAATGTAAGGAATACATTCATTATTTCGTAACTCTTTGGCTTCTGGAAAACATTCTGAAGTCCGTCGATTTTTATTTTCAAACGCACGTTCTGCCAAATAATCCTTTTATTCGTGACATCACCTGTATGAACGGGATGACGTCATAGATGATTTCTTTTTAATAGAAAAGTTGTTCATGCGATACATTATTTTAAAAGGCTTTTATAATAATTTTAAATAATACATAACTTCTTAAGTATTAATTTTCGACTCTATTTAAATACCCAAAATAAAATTTGGTAAAGGCCGTCACTGGAAAGACAATGTTAGAAAATACCACGCATTTAGATGGAGTAAGTACCATGGGCGCATCTACCATAGATCATCAGTCTTATCTATTATTTTTGGCATGCCCCGAAAGATCCATGTCCGGCGAGCGCATTTCAGAAGAAGCCCCCACAGTATGTTGCCTTGGTGGGAAACTATTTGTATTGACGAAGAGGATAAATCGAATGGCCACCTAGGTTGTCAGATTTAACTCCTCTGGATTTCTTTTCATTAGGATATTTAACATGTAAAGTATACCAAAATAGACCACAAAAAGATCGCGATGGCGCAAATAACTCCGGAAAAAAAAGTTCAGGAAGAGTTCACTGTTTGTCCGTCTCACTGTGCTACAGTCAAGTGTCGTCAATTTGAATATTTTCTTTGAATTTGATTGTATTTAATAAACAAAAAATTTATTGTAATAATAAAATGTTTGACAGTACAAAAACTTGAATTATTTAATAGCCATTTATGCAACCAGTTATTTTATATAAAGAGGTCCCGCAACATGAATGTGTTACAATAAATATACAATATTTTTTGTAATTTTGACTAGATTATTAATAAAATTGTGTTATGGTAAAAAATTACTGACATCTATGCAACCGATATTACTTTATCGTATTGTTAGTTGCATATGCATAACTTTATTAATTTTACAGACAAATAGAAAATTGTGTTTATATTGTTTTAATGGTATTTAATTTTCAAGAAAGTGGGTTATTTTGTCATATATTGTGTTTGAATTATTTTGTGCTGATTTAGTATAGAAAATAAGGACCACAACAACATTATTACCAGGTTGTAAGTTTAACCAAAATCTATTTTTAAATATTCAATATTTCCTTCAGTAATAAAAAGTTTCAATAATAACGTATATATTGATTTTAAAAGCAAAAAAAAGTTTAAATCTTAGTGTTTCCTGGAAAGAAAACATTTTATGAACATATAAACTAGGTATTAGTTTCTTGAAAATTAGCAATGAGGATGGCGAAAGCCCAAAGTGCTCTGCTAACTTAGTAAAAATAATTTTATACAAAATACAAGACAGATTGTATTTGATGTCTAAATTATTAGGCTTAAGCAGATTATGTTGTAAATATTTTATATTATTTTTAGGCCAAATTTACTTCCTACTGAATGTAATGAAAAAAGAGTCTAAAAGAGATTTATAATAATTAAAATACTTTGCATATACTGGATCAGAAAATTCAAGTTGTTCCACCGACATTGCTCCAGAAGCTAAATGTTATTCAATTTATAAAGAAGATATCTATAAAAGTATCAAAATTCAATTTAAAAATACCCATGTTTTGAAAATATTTATGGCACATATTATTTTGGAAATCATTAAAAGATCTAAAATCCAAAAACTTTAAAAACATGTTAAAAGTTTAGTAATAAGCAGGTTGTTAATCTGGAACAAAAGTCAGATTAATTCACCCAAAGTAAAAGGTTGCAATCTGCCTGACCTTAGTGCAATTCGCAGATGAATCACCTACAAATAAAAATTATAATATCTGTCAATATTCGCTTTCAACATATTTAACAGCCACAAAATGATAAAGCAGCTGAGATTCATATGTATCTAGTATTAAAATAACATTAAATCAATTTGGTGACATACATGTCATTAAAATATAGGTAGCCCGTGCACAACTTCGGTTCCTATTATATTTTCTTTGAAAATAGACACTGCACTTACCAATTTTATCTTTTTTTATTTATATTTATTACTTTTTTATTGTATTTTTTTATTTATTTTATACTGGATTTCTATATTTAATTCTTGCATTGTGTTTTTAAATTATTATACCCTTTGCGTTAATTGTATGTTTATATATTTTTGGATGAAGCTTTGGGTCATAAAAAAATATTATAACACACTAGTTGTACCTACATACAATCTAGGAATAAACTGGCTAGATACTATCGTCAAATTTTTGAAATTACTAATCTTTACGTTCTTAAAAAACGAATACTTGATGCGGATTTATTCTTAAATTTAATAATTAAATAGTTTTTGTTTACATAGTTAAATTGTTTTTGTTTAAATAGGTAGTTTTCCAAAAGTTAATTCTTTATAACCTAAAATTATATTATACTAATTGTATATATCTCCTTTTGACTAAAATCGGAAAAAATAATTTTAGTATATATTTGGGTATTCTACCCAGATTGAAAAAAACAGTCTGGACCTGGTACGACCGCCATATTGCTGCTTCACTTACGTCCACTTAACCCCGCTCACCGATGTCATTTTTAGAATACATGTTTAAACGAACGTAGCATCTCCTTCAATATCCTACCTCCATGGTTACTACTTAAGTTATTAAAGTTAATTTTAATTTAAATTTAATACAGGCATTGTTGAAGAATCATCCCAGCTAGCTTATAACGTTGCCAAGCCTTTCGGCGATGTTGCTTTAAGGGAACGTAATAACATTACTATACAACGTAAATGTAACGTTTATGAGAAGTTATTGAGAGAAATCAAAACCACGCAAAACTTCTATTTGTTACTTACTTATTTAACCCACCTGTTATGTTAACACAACGTAATTTGCTAACAAAAGTATCCATGGAAAGTACTATGAACATCTACTCTGAGTTCGGAAGGTTTATGTGTATGTCAATTGTCATTTTTTCTTGTCATTTGTCATTTTTTTGATGGTTTATTTTATGACTTCCAGAATTTATTTTATAAATTATTATTTATACATTCGAGTAGATTTGGTAAGGGTCCTCTATATAATATAAAACTATTTTCTAAACCATTGTCGTTGTTTGCCTAATGTAAATTTATTATTTCATTCGTTAGGTATACAAAATGGTTTAACTACAATAAAAACAAAGAATTGCAGATAAATCGTTATAAACGAGCAGATAAACATTTAACCGAATGTCCAGTAACATTTTATACCAAATACTTATAAAAGGTAATTATACTTAATCGAACTAAAAGTACATTTTAAAAAATATTTTATTTTAGGTTCCCTTTGTACCTGATGACATTCTAGGAATTTTAGAAGCAAAGTAAATACTACAGAATTGTCTAAAGAAGAATATATAACACCTGAAATTTTATAAAAAGTGAATCTATAGGTACATGGTATATCAAGTATATCAGAATTCAAGCAGTTCATTCTCTTCAACAGGCTAGATTTGCCTGGAAATTAACCATCGGTTCAAGTGCAAACTCAGAAGAAAAGTTGAGACAAATCACAGATGATGCTCTCGAGTATAATAGAATATATTGCTAAAAAACACGAGTTTTTTTTATAACATCTGCAGATTTACCTTGGAAATCAAGCATAAAATTTGTAAAATTCAAACAAATTTCAATACACTAACATTGGTTGTTTTATTTAAAACAACAAAGTAAGGCATATTTTTTAATTTCTATATAATTTCCTTTAATAATAGTTAAACAAGTTGTCATTTTTTTTTATTCAATGTATTGAGAAGTAAAATCTTTTTATATAAAAATATAATTTATCCTCTTCTAATAAATTGTCATATATTTAGGTTACATTATAGCATTTTATAAATATACAAAAAAGTTAAAAGGCTTGACTTAAAAAAGATGATATATCTCTGAGTTTAGAGGTAAGAAATCAAGGAACTTAGCTATCCTCTAGTAATCTAGTAAAATATGTACCTAGTCATTGTTGTATTCGTCTATTATTATTCACTAATCTAGCTTTATCATTGTTCACCGTTTAAGGTTTTAGTAAACCTTGCAATATTGGTACGTTATTTTACTATTTAGCTAATTTTGTCCAATCGTTCAGTGCTTTATAGGTAGCTTCTGCTATCCCATATGTGTAATAATTGTGTTTGTGACTCCGAGCAATTACTAATAGAGGGAGCGTGAAAACGAGTTTGTAGGCGATTGTTGTGTTAGCAACATCTGTAGAGGAAGTGAGGAAGCGGGCACAAGGGGGAAGGTAAACATCCTTCTTGTTCAGTGGCGTATCATTTATCTATAAAAACACATTGTCCAAACGTTTTAATTAAAAATAAAACTAAACAATTTGCTAATTTTACTATTTTTAAAATGAATACCGTCTTATATGTGTCTAATGCAGGAAATGAAACAAAATCACTGTGAAGGTCTAATTTTTTCATTTGAAGAATAAATCCTTAAAATCAATGTTATTATAAATAAATACAGGAGCGACTAGTTTCGGCCTTACAGGAACATCTTCAGGCCTGTAATACAATATTCTTTAATTATTATAATAGGTTGGTCACTTACATATTGTAGCGTTACAGCATTATAGAATTAAAGCTGTGAAAATAAAAGAGCAGTGCAAACGTAACTAAAAATAAGAAAACTGAGTACGAGGTGAGAATGAGCAATTAC